AATGATAAAATAGGTGTTCATTTTCCATTCATCAACTCCAAAACTCTTTCTATTTGTCATAAAATTTGAAATATACGAATTTTATGACAAATAGAAAGATCATAGTGAAAACCGAAGTTTCTCACTCGACAACGGCACTCCTACTAGCATTACTTCAAACCCAAAATAGAAACTATAGCTCTCTTACTATCCCAGAAACCAATACCACAAGAACTCTAGTCCTAACCCTCAACATTATCAAGCATCTCTCATCCCCAAAACGCAACACCAACTTTTCTTCCCTTATCAAAATAATTAAATTCATCCTTTTTCCAGAAATTGATTACTGCTTACTCACATTATCTAACCGATCAAGAACAACCCAGAACTCAAAAATTTTTTTCGATCGTTCCTATGGCAGCTATTTGACATAGTCGTCTATTTTATAAAAGTAAAACAGTAATTCTGAAATTGTTAAAGAAGACTATATCTCGGAGTATATGAATATTTATTAAGAAACAAAGAAATTATGACTTCTTTTCTTTCTTTTTGTTTCTGATATAATAGGCCGATCCGGCCCGCTCTGACTTTTATACTAACTGCAACAGAAAGAAGACTTTTTGCAAAGTTTCAACCAAATAGCTTTAAAACTGAGGGAGTAGAAACGGACAGACTAAAAAGACTAGATCGACTCGCCTGATGGTGCTGATCAAGAATATATCTATATACTTTATAGGGTCGGAAATAAAATTCTGCAAAATACTCGTTTTTAACTTTTTATATTGCATAGCTAATCATAACAGAAAAACTCAACACCTCACTTACCAACGCTCATTACATGGACAGATATGTATCTCACAAATACATAGATTAACAAATCTCCTTTCCGAAAACCAAGATCATAGCAAGCCCTCCCAACAAGAATATATCAAAATTCATTTAATTTCTTCAAAAAGACCAACTCATCCTTCAGCGGAAGGCCATTGCTAATGCTCTTACAGACAAGTTGTAAATAAATATTTATTGTTTTAATGGAAAATGCGAGTTTAAAACCGCTTAACCCAATATTTAATTTTTTTAAAGTTTTCACTGCACTTTGTAGCTATCTTTCTTTTTCTTGTTTTCTAAATGTACCTCATCAATTTGTATATCTTCTAGTTGAGTGCGTCCAGTCGCCAGCGGCGTTCTTCGCTAACCGCCTGTACAAGGCCATGAATGGCGCAGGCACCGACGACGCCACCCTCATCCGAATCATCGTCAGTCGCTCGGAGATCGACCTGGAGACCATCAAGCAGGAGTTCGAGCGGATCTACAACCGCACGCTGCACAGCGCCGTGGTGGTAAGTGGATCTCGCGACGATCGCGAGTGCTTTGCACCTGGTTAACGCATCCCTTTCCCCTTTTTACTTGTATTCGGTATTTGTTGCGGTGATTGTGTTGTCCTAGGACGTAAGTATTGGCCACGGTATTGGTGTACTGGATGCATTCCCCAAATTCAGTTTCTCTTCGAACTGAAATGCTCTTTTTGTACTACGTTGCTAAGCATTCGCTTTCTAACGATTTTAAAAAACTAATCCAATTGATCCGCTTAAGTTCTGCATTGGATATGTATGTATATTAAAAATACTTATTCCATTAATAAGTAGGCATGCATACCAATGTAGATTACATTTTTTAAGCACAATAAGTGACTTTTCGTCAAAATAGACTCGGTTATTTTTCAAAATTTAATTATTGGCCTTCTATTTAAAAGTATGTATAAACTTATGTATGCAAAGGGTAAACGTAGTGTAAATAGGGCATAATATAAGGACAACTCTGAACTCGTTTCATCTCATCTTTATTTTTTTATTTGCAGGCGGAGACTTCTGGGGACTACAAAAGGGCCCTAACAGCCTTACTTGGAACCGCCTAGACGTGGGGATGTTGGCAGCTGGTCCGCCCATTGTTATTCTCGTATTAATAGCCGTATTCTTAGTGTGCCTTTTAGGAAAATCGCTTTTAATGTCTGCGCATGCGCACACTGGTGGCAATAAATAAACGCACATAGCAGCAGTTCAAATCAATACGAGAATTGAAGAATCGTAGGGCTGGGGACAGACATCTGAGGATTACTTAAAGAAGAGCTTTTGCAACTGCTTGGTCTTCACGGGCAGAAAGTTCTGCATTTCATCTGGGTTAGTCCAAAACGCCACGGAGTTTTGAAGCTCTATGCAGGGCGCTTCCCGGTGTATGTACTCTTTCAGAATAAAGTCGTTCTCGATCTCGTGGTGAAAGCGCGTGTCGTGCATCCGGATGAGCACATCGTCCACGCGCAGGAAATGGCGCAGAAGTATAAAGAAACCAGAGGGCATCACGCGCTGTCAAAGGAAGAGTGGGGTGTCTTAAAAAGGGTTATCTATTGGCTGTGTGTGGGTACTTACGATGCGCACGCTCATCACCGAAATACCGTGGTCGTGCAGCTCGTCCTCAAACAGGGTTAGATCGTGGTAGAAGATGATGTTCTCGCGCTGCATCAGCTTGAACTTATTAAGTGTCTGATCCGTGCTCTCTGACCGCACCTTCTCGTTCATGGTGCCCTGGTAGGTGGATGTGAATGTCCAGTCGAAGGGCTTGAACTTCTCCTCCATGGTCTGCTCAGGGCTGCTGGACAGAACGCGATTATTTGGAGAGTGAATTTGTGTACGTCCAGAGAAACTTTAAAAATTCCGAAGCTATTCGTCCCAAAACTTTCTGAGATAAAGCTTTGTGTCAAAATAGACGGATCTTCAGAACCATTTTAATGTTTTAGACCAATTTACTTTGTTGGAATTAATCGTGTCAAAGATCTTCGGCTACCGTCTACACTTAGTTAGTTGGGTTTTAATGATTATAAAAAAATATCAAGATATATAATCTGACGATTTTGGGAAGGTTATTTTGAAAAACGTATCAATATCAAATCACAAAGCACTCAGTTTCCCTGGAAAGATGCAAATCATCTTTATTAAGCTTAAGCTAATTGATGTAATTCTGAAATCACAAAAGTATGTGGTGTTTCCTGACAGTCTGTCCAATGTCGCAACATTTACTTTATAATTTTCACAAATGATCTCAGATAAGTAAACCAAGCATTTTAAGATAAGTCAAGCCTTCTAAGCTTACATATGTAAATTTTAGAAGATATATATATTTTTAAAGGAGTTCCCTGGTTAATTTTGCTAGGGTTTTTACTTGAGTTTAATCTAATTGTAATGAGGTAATCTGTGCTAAGTTGCTTATGCATGGGAAGGACACCCGCCTGAAGTTCTATATTTCGGGGAAGTACCCACCGGGTTTCCCGCCACTCTTGGGCGCAGGCGACCTCCAGGGGCTGCTTGCCGTTGTCCACCAGTGCCAACGCCTCCATGGGCCGGAACTCGAGGACGGCGCCGTCCTTGTGCTTGAGCACAAGCCGGTTCTTGTGGAACACCATGTCGGGCAGGTGGGGCAGCTCCAGGGAGTACTGGTAGTGGCAGAGGTCGCAGCGGTCGGCGGAGTCCTTGGGGCAGCACTCGGCGGTGCCCAGCTTGCAGCTGCTCTTCAGTATGTGTGACTTCTCGTAGCTGATGGCCCAGTCGTGGAACTGGATCGCCTCACTGTCCACCGGCAGCCGGGGCACAAAGCACTGCTAGCCAGGGGGTTAAGTTTAGAACTTGGCCTTTCCGGAAGGGAATCTCCACCACCTACCTCGTTCGACATTGTCCGGATTTACCACAAAATATTGAAACTATCTATGCCGCGAATCGGTTCAAAAGCTTCTCATTAGTTCTCTAAATTCCGCTGAAGATTGCACTTTGTTTTTAAATTAGAGATGAGCCGTCATGCCACTATCGATTAAAAAATGACAACTATTGCCCTCTTCCCATAGAGTCCATCCGTCTGAAACGGTTGGGATTTTTGACAAATGTGAAACTCCGATTCCCACAGAGCACATCCACCATCCACCATCCGATAACAGCTGATCTGAACAGCTGTGGCTCATCATTTTAGCCCGTTGCATTTTGCACAACATTTAAAATGAGCACAACAGCGTTATAAATGATACTTGGTAACAGACTGCAAGTGATCTACGCGAACAATCAAAACGAACTAATACGTCTGCAGATTTTTGCCAGCCTGCAGACAAAATATGAACAGCTATTGCCCAATATTGTCTAAATGGTAACAAATCAAGTTCATTATATATAAATGTTTGTTTTTTGTTTTATTATAATTTCATATTTTATTTCATTTTAAATGTTCTGCTTAATGTTGTGAGTAAGGTATGCGCCTAGGAAAGAGTGGAGCAACACCTAATGCTGCCACACGGATGGAGCAGTAATTAATTAATTATTACAAGTATAAACAGCATTTTTTGATTTGGCGCCTTCCTTTTTCAAAAGTTACCCGCCATTATTTTTTTTTAAATTTTCGTAGTGAATGTTCCAATTTCCACTGTCAAGAAGAAGAACTCAGAGTTGCACCAAAAAAACATCGCCTAAATATCGCATAAAGAAGTCCGTCAAATTTGGATGGGGAACTAACTGGGAATTTTCGGAACGGCAAAACCTTATGGACCATCCGTTCAACGGATGGTGGATGGTGGATGGAGCTCTGTGGGAAGAGGGCATATAAAATTATAAGCCCCATATGGGATCTTCCGGCAAGTGATGGCGCTCTCCGACAAAACTGTTAAATTAATTAAATTAAATGTTAAATTTAAAACGACTTAAAAGTCTGAAAACAAAACTGCGCATTGTTTTGATGACCTTTTAGCTGGTTACCACGCGTTGCTGCAAAACGTACTTATATTTATAGTTATAACCCTTCTTTTACAACTAATTCAAATAATTAATTAATTTAACTAATTACTTATTTTTATGTAATTAGCTTTTTATTAAACCATAATCTTGGTCGTTTATATTTGAATATATTATTAATTTTTGACGCGATATATTTTTAAAGCTCAATAGAAATCGATTACAGCGCCTGTCAATCGGCGGGACACTTTCTCGCCGACGTCTGGCAACCCTGAACATTTCGCTTTTGTTTTTATTCCGGATTGTTATTGTTTTTGTCAGTTTTTCCGGTTCTTATGTGGGAAATTTGTGGATTTTGAGCGGCAAGTCAAGGAACCAGAAGCACGATGAACGCCCTGAGGCGCCTTGACCGCCTAATCGCACCGAAAGCCCACCGCAGCGCAGCCATCTCCACATGCCTTTGGCCACAACGATGTAGGAAGCAAACCACGAGCTCATCCGGAAGTCTCAACTCCACTGTCACGATAAATGCGGCCGAGGTGCGTGGCGTTGCTCAGATTCTGCGCCAGCAGAGGGGCAACCTAGGCCAGCCCACCAGCGTCTCGCATCCGCACCTCATCCGGCCGGATGAGTTGGTTCCGGGTGTGGAGCTAGCAGAGTTTAAGGAGCGGCGGGCGCAGCTGATGCAGAATATTCGCGCCTATGCGCGCAGCTTTGGAGGAGAGTTTAACGGCCACTCAAGCCCCAGCCACATGGTGAGCCCACTATTTCCTACCAGAAACCCCGAAACCCGTTAACCACTTCCTTCACAGCTGGTCCTGGGTGCCGCCTCCAAAAAATACATGAGCGGCAAGATCCCCTATGTGTTCCGGCAGAACTCGGACTTCTACTACCTCACTGGCTGCCTGGAGCCGGACGCCGTGCTCCTGCTGACCATCGACGAGGCGCAGAACGTGCAGTCCGAGCTGTTTATGCGACCCAAGGACCCTCATGCGGAACTCTGGGATGGACCGCGCACTGGGCCAGAGCTGGCAGTGCCGCTCTTCGGCGTCACAGAAGCCCATCCGCTGGGCGAGCTGGAGACGGTGCTAGCCAAGAGGTCTGGCGCCCTTAAACCCCACATTTGGTTTGACCAGAAGAACTCCGATCTGCCGTCGCTGGCGGAGAACATGCTGTGCCTGAGCGGCGTGGAGCAGCGTCCGCTACTGCCCGCCTACACTTTCCTAGAGGCCATGCGGCTGCTCAAGTCCCGAGCCGAGATGCAGCTAATGCGGCGCACCTGCGACATAGCCGCCCGCTCCTTCAACGAGGTGATGGCAGAGTCGCGGCCAGGACAATCGGAGCACCACCTGTTCGCGTCCATAGACTATAAGTGTCGCATGCGCAACGCCAGCTACTTGGCTTATCCGCCCGTAGTCGCCGCCGGGCAAAACGCCACGGTGATCCATTATGTGAGCAACAGCCAGCTGCTGGGTCCGCAAGATCTAGTGCTAATGGACGCCGGCTGCGAGTACGGCGGCTACACCAGCGACATCACGCGCACCTGGCCGGCTAGCGGACAGTTCACGGAGCCGCAGCGCACGCTCTACGAGATGCTGCACCAGTTGCAGGCAGAGATCATTGCCACCGTGATGAAGCCGGGCGGCGAGACACTCGACCAGCTGTTCGAAACCACCTGCTACAAGCTGGGCAAGTACTTGCAGGAGATCGGGCTGGTAGCTAAGTCCGTAAGTGACTACAAGGAGCTGGCCGGGCAGGGGTACCGCTTCTGTCCGCACCACGTCTCCCACTACCTGGGTATGGACGTGCACGACACGCCGCATGTGCCGCGCAACACGCGCCTCGTGCCCGGCATGGTGTTCACCGTCGAGCCGGGCATTTATATTGGCCAGGACTGCGGCGATGTGCCGCCCGAGTTCCGGGGCATCGGCATCCGCATCGAAGACGATCTGCTTATCAACGAGCACGGCCAGGTGGAGGTCCTCACGGACGCCTGCGTGAAGGATCCGCGCGCACTGCAGGAGCTGTGTCAGCAGCGGGGGAGTGACTCTGGCGCCTCCGCTTCGTTGTGAGGCCTTCCAGCGAGTGAGGATCACAAAATTCCTAGTCATAAGTCGGTGCTTCCTTCACTACTCCGGCGTGAATAATTTCGCGCCAGTCTGAGTTCTAAAGTAAAGGCAGCTGGTGTATTTATAAGTGCATACATGGCGAATACATTTGAAATTCGACTCCCCGCCATTCGTTTTCTATCTCCTCCAGATCACAGCTTGGCAAATACGGGCTTCTCGTCCTTGGTCAACTGGGCGGCCACGGCCTGGGCAAAGTCCTCCGATAGCAAGTTCAGCTTATTAAGCAGGCGCTGGAAGGGATCAAAGGTTTTGTTGAGATGTACGTAAAGTATTGATAGATGAATTTGGAATGCTGGCTTTCAAGAATTTGTTTTGAGATGGTATATATGAATATACTTATTTTTTTTTTAGGGTAACTGCATATAAATATGATTATCTTTTTATATCAAATTCGTAGGACTCTTATGTTCTTCAACATTTTTAACCACGGTCTTGATTCATTTTTTCTAAATGCGATAGAGAAAGACTTGGGTCGTAAAAGTAGGGCTTGGATTTCTGAATGTCAAAAGATACTTAGTACTTAGTAGCTTCTAACAGTGAAGAAATCTGAAGAATCTGATCCAAATGTGAAAAGAGGAGTACACCTACAATGTGGTCCAATCCCTCCTGGTTGGTGTGCTCCAGTGAGTAGGTCATGTTCTCCTTGGTGGTCTTCACGGCGATAGGACTCTTGCTGGCGATGAGCTCGGCCAAGGCCAGGGCTCCGCTCAGCAGGGACTCCTTGTCCGGGAAGAGGCGACTCACCAGGCCCGAGGTGTGGGCCTCAGCTGCCTCGAAGCGCCGACCGGTGAAGCACAACTCACGGGCCAACGACTGACTGCCCACGGCCTTGGGCAGACGCTGCAGAGTGCCCACATCGGCGGCCATGCCAATGTCCACCTCTTTCACCTGGAAGAAGGCGTCCTCGGTGGAGTAGCGGATGTCGGAGGCGGTGATCAGGTCCACGCCGGCGCCAATGCACGCCTTGTGCACCGCCGTGATCACCGGCTTGGGGCACAGCTCCAGGCTGCTGATCGAGTCCTGGTACAGCTTGATCATGCGTTCCATGACAACGCCCTTGCGGGCGTAGTCGTCGGTCTCAGCTAGGATTTGGCCTAGGCTCATCATGTCATTCAAGTCGATGCCAGCGGTGAAGTGCTTGCCGGCTGCGGACAAGACGATCGCCCGGCAGTCGGGGTTGATGGCCAGCCCGTCGATGCACTCCTTGATCTCCCTGGAAACGAAAGGCGGGTTTGTAACGGGGAATCAAGTTCGGGGTAGTCACTAAACCCACATCCACATCTGCCTATTAATGGCATTGAGCTGGCTAGGCCGATGGAGCTCCACATGAAAGACGAACGGCTTGGGCGAGCTGACGGCCAGGGTCTTGAAGTGGCCAGCGGGTCCGGATTCCGGCAAGGCCGACAGGTTTCTCCTGGGCGGCATCTGGATGGCGCGGATGGCTGGCGGAAATGGAATTTTATGCGATATGGATTTCATAAAGCTCACCGGCATTCGGACTTTGAACCGAACTCAGATCTTGGACCCGGGGGTCACAATTTTGTCCTAACGGACGATATAGTAACTACCTGCAGATTTGGAAGTCAGTTTTATCAGCGTGTTCAGCCGAGGTAGCGACATTATTGTATAAAATAATAGTAAAAACTTATTTTAAATACACTTGTTGCAGCCACAAAAATTTGTTTTGTTTTGTTTATTTCTCGATAAGTGGTGGCGTTGCCACCAGTCTGGAGGATTCCAACTGTAAACTGCTGGTTCAAATAAATTTATAAGGCGCCATCCACTCTGCAGTCGACTTTTCTATCCAGTTACCTATCGATTGCTTAACTCGATAATCCTGTCTACAATTGGCATACTCGGGTGTCTAACAGCTGATCCTTCTTCTAAATTTGATAGGGAACTGCATATAAATATGATCAGCAACCTTGGGCGAAACTCCAATTATCTGCACTTCGGTCATTCAGTTTCCTATGGCATAAATATGTAAAAACTAAATGAATTTTGCACTGAATTTAATAACCGCAGCTCCACCACTTAACCAAAAAAAAACGAAGAACAAATGCACTTACAACATTTTTTTATTTGTATAGATAGATTTCACACATGGACAAAATAGGAATAAAATACAATTTTGTTAAATCATAAAATTTGCGACCATACCTACTTTGAAACAAGAGCAACACTTGCTATTTATCTCAGCAACATTTTTTTACATTTAGATCGATGTTTCAAACCTAGTACTCAGATCGAAAAACTGTCGTCTTACTGCCAATCAGATGGGTTTGTTGCCAAACAGAAAACCAAACAGCCTAAGCAATTTAAATTAATCGAAAATGTTGAGTATCCAAGAATAACTTGAATTGGCCTCTCGCTCTCTCTCATTGCTGACAAACGGATTTGAGTACTACGCTCTATGGTCGGTTTTAGACTCTTTAAACTGAGAATTTAATTGCCTTCTAATTTAAGCCATTATTGTCCTGTACAACACTAAAATCTTGGCGCCAAATAATTTAAATTCGCATGCCGTTCAATATTAATATGAGCCGGAGACGTAGTAAGAATCGTGGGGTGTACGCATTTATTTCACAGTTTAGATAATCTTTGAACCATTGTCTCATAGCATTTAATAAAAAAAACGAGGACGGAAGCTAACTTCGGCAAGCCGAAGTTTTAATACCCTTGCAGACTTTGCCGAAATTGCTCAAATTGAAAAAGTAGCGAAAGGAATAAGGTATACATAAATAAACTAGATTTGCATAGTTTCATGTCAAATGTTTTATACTGCAAAAATGTCATATAAAAATAGAAAAATATAAATATAAAAAAAAAAAACTATAAGATATAGACGTCCGATCGGCGAGCTCTTTCACCCTGATCAAGATATGCATAAATAAATAAGACTTGGAAAAATGTGTGTCAATAGCTTACACACTGGACGAAATATATATCCGATTGTTCCTATGTGAGCTATAGGATATAGCCATCCGATCGGGGCGGTTTTCAAACTTGATCTGCGTACACATGTTTTAGGACGACTGTGAAAGTTTTAGATCGCTGGCTTTTAAACTGAGCTCACAAACGGTATTGAAACAGACGGACAGACGACTTCCCTATTGATCCTGATCAAGAATATACATATATACTTTATATGGGCGGAAACGTCTCCTTCACTGCGTTACAAACTTCTGACAAAAATTATAATACCCTCTGCAAGGGTATATGTAATTATCAGAAAAAGGTATTTTTAAAACAGTTTGGTAGAGTCTAAAAGCCACCTTCACTGTTGACTGCAGTTTGTTTATTTTGGAATGGTGAATAGTGGCTCTGTGGGAATACGAGTTTCAAATCTATTTAAAATCCCAACCACTCCACTTTTATGTTCTCTGTACGACTTGGATATTAGGAACGTCAATCCACCATCTAGGATCAACTGACACATTTATAGCACGGCAAAACCTGTTGGACAATTCCACTTATGGTGTTCTGCGGAAATGGGTCTTAATACACATATTTGACATCCCTGTGGAACAGCTGGGAATTTTGCCAGATGTGAAACTAGTGCTCCCACTGAAACACCATCTAAAAAAGCCGACAAGGACCCATGCAATATTCATTTTTGGAATTGTACTTTGCGTTTTCAGCTAAACGATGCGTTTCCACTTTTAGTTACGTTCCTGTACAGGATGCTCTTATGCGCACGAATACAGCCGTTACGATGATATTTTAAGCCATATTTTAAATCGAAGTAATCTACAAGGCAATTAATATTATTATTTATGAGGACACTCCAATGCGACAGGTTGGAAAAATAGAAGTTTGGCTGTTGTATATTTCGATACTTTAAACGCATAAAATGTTCATTATATTCATGGCTATTGTCCGAAACACCAAGTTTTTATATTTTGATTCAAACTTAAAATAACATTTGCTTTAAAGCTTAGAAACAGGTGTTTTTACTCTCCACGGCATCAGACATTTCTCATAGAGATGAGTTTACATATGTATGACTAAACTTTTCAATTTTATGTTTTAGATCACCAGCAGAAAATGAATTTGTTTTAAAAATACATAAATAAATAAATAAATATGAGGAAAAAAAAACATTGATTACTTATATGCAATTGTTCCTAAGAAAATACGCGTTTTTTTTGGCGTTCACATTGGAAAGCACTTAAATTGTTTTATGGCAAAAGTATTTTTAATTAAATGTAGCATTCTAAGTGGTGATTCACAGATTATACATATTTTTCATGTATATCCTAAACATAAATTCTTTTAGACGAATTATGCGAAATTTATCCGTTGATGCAGAAAAAAGGCCTTAAACTGCCCTTCTAATAACGTAAATAATACATTTATAAATTGAAATATAATTGGTTTTTCTACTTTTATCCGTTCTTATTTTTCATATGTATTATCTCCACCAACCCCAAATATTACATTTGCAAGTGCATCGATGAATCGATTTCGTTTTGAGATCTAGTCCATCTCACAATTATTTGACAGGTCAAACTTCAAGAAGTTAGGTCAATTGCAAAAAAGGAGTCTTGGTGAGCAGTCAAGTTCGCAGTGTCTAAAAAATCGGATAACGAGTTCAATTGATAATTAAAAGAAAAAAGCACACAATAGCTTAAACTAGCTAAACAGTCACTAACCAAAACCAGACAACAAATAAAAAGGTAAGAATTAAGAATTAATTAACTTTGCCCGTTTTCTTGTTTTAATGGCAAGCTTACTTCGAATTGTGAAATTCCGTTCAGCTTAAAGCCTACTGAAAGCGAGCCTCAAAAACCCTATTAATGGCGAAAACACATTTCTCTGAACGAATTTTCCGAAACTTAAATTGCAGCGGCTCTGCTGGACGTTGAACGTCCGGCAACGCTGGTGTCGCTAGGGTTGCCCCCGATTTTTTTTTTGATATTAGCGCGCAACAACGCTCTTCAGCCTCAGGAATTTTCCGAGCTTGTAATTTTTTAAAGGAAATTTTGAGAAAGGAGGTCGCGTGAACCGGAACACTTCCACCATGTCGAGGTGCGTGTTGTGCCGCAGCAGCGAGGATGACGAGATAGCCTTCGGGGTCATCCACCAGCAGGAAGAAATGATGGTGCACCACAACTGTCTGGTAGGTGAACCGAATTCCAGAGATTCCCGGTAAAGTCCCCTTTTGTGTCGGCCTTAACCATCTTGAAATCCCCTCCAGTATCTGAGCTCCAATCTCATCCAGCGCGGCAACGAGCGCAACGGCATCCTGAGCTTCCTCAAGGAGGACATCCTGGCGGAGGCGAGGCGCTGCCGGCTGCTCTCCTGCTGCTATTGCCACCGCGGCGGCGCCAACATCGGCTGCTGCGAGTCCGGCTGCCGGCGCACATTCCACACCAAGTGCGGAGTGGAGAATCTGGCGCTGAATCAGTTCCGCGACACGTACAGGTCCTACTGCAACTTGCACGTGCCCAATTATCGCCAACGTCCGTCGTCGGCCACGGAGCACTGTGTCATCTGCCAGGACCTGCTGGTCGCAGCAGGCTGTCGCTTCAGCGTAGTGACCATGATTCAATCGCCGTGCTGTCGGAACGGCTGGTACCACCGCAACTGCCTGCAGGCCTACGCCAACACGGCCGGCTATTTCTTCAAATGCCCCTTGTGCAACAACTCGGACGTGTTTCTTAACGTGGCCCTGATGGGCATTTCGGTGCCGAACCAGTACGTTTTAGGAGGTTGCAGCCATTAGTTCCCTTTTACTAACCATTATCTGTTTTCCCAGTGACGCCGTCTGGGAGACTGAACCGGATGCCTTTGCAGAGCAATTCCATCGTGACCAAACCTGCACCGCCGTTAACTGCACAGTAGCTGAAGGGCGAACCGGCGATGTCACTACGCTGCTGTACTGCACCCACTGCGGCTCCAATCCAGTGCATATCAACTGCAAAGTCACCGATGGAAGCTACGTCTGCGCTGTCTGCTCAGTCGTCTCGCCCGGCGACGAGTCCTCGTTGTCCAGCGCCTTCAGCAGCACCGAGACCATTACCATATATGCGCAGTTGCAAGTGATCCACACACGCATAACCAACTCCGACAGGGATGATTCCGACACCGAGACCGAGGACGACGAGGATTTGTTCCGCCGGGTGGTCGCAAGCGCCTCTGAAGCGGCGTCACTGCTATCAGTCTCGACCAATCGCTCACCAGTCACGCCAGTTGTTGGCAGAGGGCTGGCTGAAGATGTGGTTTCATCGTCAGCGGGATCCGAATTGAGTGCAGTAGAAAGTTCTACAGCAATCCCTCCTGGACGCCGATCTAGGGCTTTTTTGGATCGCTCATCACGAGCAGTGATTGGATCATTAGCAACAGCATTGTCTGGCTTTGAAGAAATTCCACGTCCGCGTGCAGGGCGCAGATCAGCAGCCAGATCAACATCGAGAGCTCAACCACGTCGCAGCAGTTCCAGACTGCAGGCTCTGAAAAACCAGGAAAACACCAAGCCAGACAACGAGGACTCCGCTGGCTGCTCCTCTTCCAACTCCGCTGCTCCCACTCAGCGTTCCACTCGCCCGAGGCGCACAATGCCAGCCAGGATGCCTGAAGCAGGACAAAAGGAAACAACAACCGATGCCGAGAAGAAAAATGACGAAGATAAAGAGAAGGAGCATGAGCCCAAGAAGCGCCGCGGGTCTCCTTCGCCAACTGCTCAGCCTGCAGGCAGGCGCTTCTTGCGCTCCATGTCGCCGGGGGCCGTCACAAGTCGCTCCAACGGAATGACACTGCGTCGCAGGACCATGGCCAATCCAAGTCACCCCCTTCAGGGCAACCTGGATGTATCCTGCGTGGCCAATAGAACCCGCAAGCGTCTGCCTGCCCACTTGGCCAACCAGAAGTAATTACGGATTGATCTGCACCGAGTTCGAGAGCTATTCCTTAGCATTCACTCCATGTACAGCATATTGACTAGGCTGCGGATGCAAATGCGTGCGTTCGGTCCACAGCTGTTTCTATTTGTAATGCCTTTAGTTAAGTTACTTTACGACTGTATTGTACGCCATTTACTTTACATTAAAAAGCAGATCTCCTCATTACAATATAGATATCTAGTTGTATATACGTTGTAATAGCCTGATTCTTTTGTACATTATTCACCGACATGCGAGTGACAACCTACTAGTCGCTTTGAATTCAAATTTTGAAAAAAGTGCAGCAATTTGATCTTGCGATTAAGTTGCAAAGTCAAAAGATGCCAATGTCAAAGCTCAAAGACTATCGTTAGAATATTATAAGCAATTTGTTTACTAATTATACGTTTAAAAATGAATATTATTTTTAACAAGAAAGAAAAGCAAAATTCGGGCGGAGCCGAAGTTGATATACCCCTGCAGTATATTCTGTAAATTATATTCTCCAAAAATATTCTGTAAATTATATTCTCCAAAAATATTCATAGGATGCATGCTTAATACTCAAAAAAATACAAACTTCCTAATTTTAAAATCGTTTCGGCAGCTATAGGATATAGTCTGCCAATCCTTATAAAATTTGATAGGTCGGATTAATTGGCCAAGAATAAAACCCATAGAAAATCCCAACTTCCTTACTTTACAAACACCAAATGTCATAATTTCCGATCGTTCAGTTATATGGCAGCTGTAGGATATAGCCGATCCTTTCGAAATTGGTAGGTCGAATTGATTGGCCAAAAATAAAACCCATAAAAAATCCCAACTTCCTAACTTTACAAACAGAGAGAGTCGATCTACCCATGTTTGTCTGTCCGTTCGTCCGTTTCTACGCAAACTGGTCCCTCAGTTTTAAAGCTATCTGCTTGAAACTTTCTTAAAAGTTGCCTTTCTATTGCAGGTAGTATATAAGTCAGAACATAGAAACAATCGGAAAACAATTTTGTCCTGGGATTTGGTAATATTTAAATATTATAGAATTTCGGGTTGAATTAAATTAAAATCGGAAAGAATAGAGGCACCCCAGATAGCAGTAATGTTATTTTGTCCTCACGTGTAAACTCCTGCAAACGACTTCTGCGGGTTTTTTCGATTTTCCTCAACTCAAAAAACTCGCAGAAGTCGATTGCAGGAGTTTAGGCGAACAACCAAATCAAACTAATATGTCTGCAGATTTTTGCCACCCTGCCAGCCTGCAGAAAAAATACGAACAGCTATTGCCCAATATTGTCTAAATGGTAACAAATCAAGTTCATTTAATATACGATTTTTTTTTTGTTTTATTATAATTTCATATTTTATTTTACTATTAATGTCAAGGACGGCAGACAGCCAAGCTCAATTCAATGACATGATCTCGGTCTGCGCTCGCTGCTCCTCCAGCCTTTCTCCAGCGTTATCTCCACAAGCTCGGCCTTGTGGTCCACCTTTTCGTGCTTTGCGGGGGCCGCAGAGCTGCCTGAGCGTTGTCTTCCGCTCCAGAGGCTTCCATGTCATTGGGGTCCACATCTAAGACCTTCAAAAAGTATTCCCTAGTACCTGCAATAAATATATTTTATTAGAAATTGTAAACCACAAATATAAGTCTGGGGACATACTCTCGTTCTCCAAGGTATTTTGCTCCATGTTGTGAGTACGGTATGCGCCTAGGAAAGAGTGGAGCAACTCTTAATGCTGCCACACGGATGGAGCAGTAATTAATTAATTATTACGAGTATAAGCAACATTTTTTGATTTGGCGCCTTCCTTTTTAAAAAGTTACCGGCCATTTATTTTTAAATTTTCGTAGTGAATGTTCCAATTTACTCTGTCAAGAATAAAGCCTAGTATCCAGATCGACAAACGAGTATGCTAGCGTAAAAACTTTAATCTTTCCAGTGTGACCAAAATTTCGAGAGTTCATCGGATTTAAGCGTGCTACGGTCGTACTGACAATCAGCTGGGTTTGTTGACAAGCAGTTAAGATTCAAATATCGTATTTGCGGGAAAGAGCCTTTAAAAGATATTATCAAATACCTTGGCAAGACAAGTCTGCCGCTGTACAAAGAAGTTAAAAAACAATACAATTTAAATTTAACAGTTGTTTTTTTTTTAATTTTATGATAATTATTTGCTAATTTAAAGTTCATAGCTGCACTTTTATTGTGTTTTTTCGTACATTCTGGACCTAAAAAACATTTTGCTCTGACAAGAGGCACCCCAGATAGTATTAATGTTATTTTGTCCTCACATGTAAACACCTGCAATCGACTTTTGTGAGTTTTTTGAGTTTTTCCCTCCATTTCTTATAATGTTCAGTGAGAAGCGCACGCCAAAAGATTAAATTTTTTAATCTTTCCGCTAGGGTTCACCCAAAGTTCATTTCCGCAGACTGGCAACGCTATGCAATTTTCTGGTATTTTTTTCGTCGATCAGGAGACCGAAGTGAAAAAAAGGCCCGACGAAAAGTGAACGCCAGCTGTTTGCCTCTCGCTCTCTCTCATGACTGGCGTACGGTTTACGTCGAAGTGGATACTAGGCTTTAAAAAAATTTGTTTTGCTCATATCTCGATAACTTAGTGGCACCTGAATTGATAATAATCAATTGGTATTTTTAACTTCGCTGGCAACGTGGCACTATCAGTATGTTAATTCACCCATTGTCTGGTCACACTGGGCCCAAGGTTTTGTGTTGTATGTGTGTGGGTGCGTTAGTAATAGTTTATCCAGACTATGAGTTAAGGAGAAATTAAATCAAAACGCCAACGCCCACAAATGCGTTTTCTCGTACGCTCAGCGTTGCAAAAAATCTCGAAAACTCGGAAAAATTGAGACCGCTAAGAAAATCGAGAACATCTACATCAAATTCAACAGTCAGCTCCTGTGTGTGTGTGTTTTTGTGAGTGCGAGCTTGTGTGACTGTGTGAGAGAGTGTGCGAGCGAGAAGGACGATTGCGAGGGAGTCGAGCTTTGCCAATTTCCCAGCCAACTTTCGGCACTTAGTCGCGATTTTATCCACCAGAAATCCATTTATTCGGAATGCAATGAGTATGCTGCTCGTTTTCTCTCTAAAAATGTGCTGATAAACGGCAAAAGAGACGGGAAAACAACAGCAAAAACCAAATAGCAGCAGAGGAGCCGAAAAAATACTTAATCAAAGGAAATTAAATAACAAGGCGGCGGCGGCAACAACACTTACATAAATTAACTCGCAAACGCAACAACACTAATAACAATAGCTTATCACACAGCAATAACAACAACAGCAGAAATAACAACAAATCAGCAGCCAGAAAGAACAACAGTTTATCTCAAATATTCAGCCGGCTGCACGAGTGCGAGCAAGAGGGGCATATTAAGAGAGCGGAGAGAGAGAGGGAGAGCGACAGAAGGAGGGAGTGTGTGTGTGAGTGGGAGCAGGCAGCAAAAAACAAAAGTAATATTTTGCATTGTTCGACTCGTCCAACTGTAAATATCAAGCACTTGCAAAAAACAAGAAACAAAATGGCACGCGGCTTCGATCATCTGTTCAAGTTGCTAATAATCGGCGATAGCGGTGAGTTTCCCAGGCTTTCCCAAGCCAGGTGCTTAAAAATAGCACCGTGGGCAGGTGCAAATTTCAGCTTGTCCCAATTCCTGCTCTTTTCCATTTTTTTTGGCATAAATTCAACTAATAAACACATAGAGTTGTAACGGGTAGTGTTGACATTATCTCAGGCATGTGCATATGTACAACAAATATTCGAAATATCCACGCCTACATGGCGGATGAGTAATATTAAAAAAAAATTTGTAATGTTTTTAACATATGTCAGAGTTTTTTTTAATTTCATTTTAAATGATATATTAATACATGTTTTTTAAATATATTTTTCAATTTACTTTTTTTTTCTTTAGTTACTTATTTGCAACTAAATTAATTTCTAATGATCGAGGAGTCGGAAATCAATCATAACCTCAACAAAACTTGAAACGTATCTTGAACTTGGCTTAAAATATTAAATATAATATAATGACCACCAAGTATTTACCAACACATAATTAAATTAACATTTTACATTATTATAATTTTTTTGCACAAGTTGGCAGAACTTATGTTTATACCTTTCATAAATCAAAAAATTGTAAATTGGTTTAGATTTAAGGTACTTTCTATCCATTAAAGGATTCTTTGTTTTCGATATTATAAAAAGAAAATTCGGGTAATTTTCGCTCAATTAGAGCAAAATCTTTCTGATCTGTCTTTATTTATCGGGTCCCCACATCTATTGTTTTCTAAATTGAAATACATTTTAGGAATATTCTCAAATTCATTCCAAAATTTGTTGAAATGTATAACATAGAAATAGATTTTACTATAAATGTTAGAAATAATGCACCAAATAACGCAGTCTGGCCCAGTTTGCTGTCCGTAGATCAGCTGTTTGTTCTTTAGAACATACCTGGAGCTTCCAGTTGAAGCTGGCATGACTAATGCTGACGCATCGGCAGGACATACATGGTGACATCCGACAAGACCAGCTGCGGCGGTAACCGGAGCAGGAGGTTATCCCTACCCAGACATATTACGTACCATGTAGACCAATCATACACTCAGTAGTACGTTTAGTAATACAATCCCCTTTTTCAATCCGATCCCCCGCAGGCGTGGGCAAGTCGTCGCTTCTTATCCGGTTCTCGGACGACACATTCTCGGGGAGTTACATCACCACCATCGGCGTAGACTTCAAGATCCGCACTGTGGACATAGAAGGCATGCGTGTGAAGCTGCAGATCTGGGACACGGCCGGCCAGGAGCGCTTCCGCACGATCACCAGCACCTACTACCGCGGCACCCACGGCGTCATCGTCGTCTACGACGTGACGAACGGCGAGTCGTTCGCGAACGTACGCCGCTGGCTGGAGGAGATCCAGAACAACTGCGACGTGGTCAAGAAAGTATTAGGTAAGCCCGAGCGACCAGGGATTGGTGTTGGGTATCCCAGCCTTTGATTCGCATAAGCCTGTCACACTGATTAAAATTCATATTAATCCTACCATTTCTCTGCAGTGGGCAACAAAAACGATGACCCGGACAGGAAGGTGGTCATCACAGAGGACGCGCAACGGTTCGCGAAACAAATGGACATCGAGCTATATGAGACATCTGCCAAAGATAACATCAACGTGGAGAACATGTTCCTGTCGATCACGCGGCAGGTGCTCGATCACAAGCTGCGCACCTCCCCCAACGAGCAGCAGAAGGACACGCTTCACCTGAAGCCCAATCCCAAGGGCACCAAGGGTGGGAAGTGCTGCAGGTGAAAGCGGCTCTGGCACGGGAGCTGGCATTGGAACTGGACCGACGGCGACGGCGGGACAGGAATTGGAACCGGAATTAGGACCAGGACCTGGATCATGTCCGGGGTCGAATGGAATCGTTGTGGGGCGCGTAGTTTGTAGGGATCTTGGCGTACAACACGGCACACACCACTCACTCACATAGACATAGCTTACACCAACAAACAACACTCACACACCCACTAGAGACAACAATTTTTTTGTTTTGTTTTTTTTTCCTCCTGTGTTTTTATTCGGAATAATGCCAGATAGCCGTAAATTAAAGTGTAAAAGTGTAAAGCGCAATTAAATGTATTTAGCAATTTATATACATATTAATATATACATAAACAAAATTTAAACAAATCGCATATTTATGTACAAGAATATATTTATATTTCAAACGGAAAATTGTATTTACAATTACAAAAGCGATATAAAGCAAACCAAAAAATGAGGTCTAAAATTTCTCTAAAGGAAAACGTTCGATGAACATTTATATATACATATACATATATATAGGGGAGATAAAACATAAATTTATTGGCTTCCGATCGCGATTCTTCACTCTTGTTTTAAATAGTTTTAAAATTGTAAAGGAAATTTCTTATTTGCGTCTGTCACGATGCGAAACAAGATAAAATTGACAGGTACTAAACATTATGTTTGCCAATTAATTGTTTTTGTTTTATTTTAAAACCATTTCCTTTTGGTGAACTTTATACACAGCTTTATATAATTTATATAAATCTTAAATCCCGAATCTCCATTTAATTTCGCTTAAGTACATTTTCAAGCACATTTACTTGTGTTACTCTCGGATGCCGCCTTGCGCTGCTAAACATTAATTTATTATTACTGCCATTCCATGATTGGATTTACTGTGTTAACGACAAAACCTTTTGAACTTTATTTTTTTCTTAATAATTAAATATGGGATGCTGAGTATGAAACTTTCGTTTACTTTCAACTCCTATGTGAATTTTTTCAATAAAAATGGTTGTATGCTATTTTTTTATTTACTTCCAGAAAACAAGAGATCCAGATAACCAACAACAAAATATTGTGTACTACCATACAAAAATAAAGATTGACTTTTCCAAAAACATGATCTGTTGTGAAAAAACAAAATAATTTAAAAATGATCAGTATGTTAAACCCGTTACTCTTAGAGTAAAAAAAGGTATATTGCAGTCGTGCAAAAGTATATAGCAGGGAAAATATTCACTTTTATTCATATAAAGTATGTGTATTCCATGACCAGCCTAGTCGATATATCCATTATTATATATCTCTTCGTTTAGACCAAAATAAAAGCTGGAGAGAGAGATATCGATGTATAAAATTATTACGTCCTTACAACACAACATAATTTAAGTAAGTCAACTAATTTTAATAACTTACAGTCTCCAAAAATAGAATCAGAATCTGAAATGCAGTAACTTTTAATTTGCATATAATACAAATTTAGTGTTTGTATTTAAATGATCTTTAAAATGTCGGACCTTTAATAATATATAACATTTGTTGTATATTAAACAAATTAAATCTCAGCAGATGAATTTGCCGATTAAGTACTCAGTTCTTAAACATAATTGCATACTTTCTGGCGACAGACAGATTGATTATGTCATGTAATGTAATGTAACAAAACTCGCTTGATTTAAAATACAGAAGTGGGTATCAGGCAAGAAACATTTATCTTTCGGTGGGTGACGTAGAATTTCATGGAAGCCATCCAATTGTATGTGTTTGGGGCGAAATTTTGAATCTTATAGTATATCGATTTCCATATACATATGTAGATGGACAGGCTTTAGGTCAAGATCAACTCGGAAGTTGATTAAAAAATACTGATATATAACTGTAGCATATAAAAGATATCAAATGCTAAAAGTGCTGCACTTTTTATACCCTTGCAGAGGATATTATAATTTCAGTCAAAAGTTTGCAACGCAGTAAAGGAGTCATTTTCGACCATATAAAGTATATATTTTCTTGATCAGCATCACCAGTAGAGTCGATCTAGCCATGTCCGTCTGTCCGTCTGTCCGTTTCTACGCAAATTAGTCCCTCAGTTTTAAAGCTATCTATTTATCAGAATATACCTATGAGATATAGTAATTATTACTATTACTTCATAGAAACGATGGCAAAATGTAACCTAAAATCGACATAGTTTTATTGTTTTAAGTAATATAGGCTTAGAAATTGAAATGTAGTCGTTTTGTAATAACTGCAGAGGTATATAAACTTTGGCTTGCCAAAGTTTACATCCTTTCTTGTTATACCCTTGCAGAGGGTATTATAATTTTGGTCAAAAGTGTGCAACGCAGTGAAGGAGACATCTCCGACCCTATAAAGTATATATATTCTTGATCAGGATCACCTCCTGAGTTGATATAGCCATGTCCGTCTGTCCGTCTGTCTGTTTCTACGCAAACTAGTCTCTCAGTTTTAAAGCTATCGAGTTGAAACTTTGCACACAGCCTTCTTTCCTTTGCACGCAGTATATATGTCGGAACGGCCGACTATATCCTATAGCTGCCATATAACTGATTGATCGGAAATGCCATAACTTTGGTGTTTGTAAAGTTAGGAAGTTGGGATTTTCTATCGATTTTATATTTGGCCAATCAATCAGACCTACCAAATTTCATAAGGATCGGCCGACTATATCCTATAGCCGCCATATAACTGATTGATCTGAAATGCCATAACTTTGGTGTTTGTTAAGTTAGGAAGTTGGGATTTTCTATGGGTTTTATTTTTGGCCAATCAATCCGACCTACCAAAGTTCATAAGGATCGGCCGACTATATCTTATAGCTGCCATATAACTGAACGATTGGAAATGCTATAACTTTGGTGTTTTTAAAGTTAGGAAGTTGGGATGAGTATTAAGAATGCATCACATGAATAATTTTGGAGAATATAATTTACAGAGTATTCTGCAAGGGTATATCAACTTCGGCTCCGCCCGAAGTTAGCTTTCCTTTCTTGTTTTTTTAATATTACAAGAACGTTTCTCTGGACTTTTTAGTAACTTTTGATACCCTTGCAGAGTGTATTATAATTTTGGTCAGAAGTTTGTAACGCAGTGAAGGAGACGTTTCAACAGTATATATATTCTGGATCAGGATCAATAGGGGAGTCGATATAGCCATGTCCGTCTGTCCGTTCTGTCTGTCTGTTTCAATACCGTTTGCGAGCTCAGTTTAAAAGCTAGCGATCTGAAACTTTCACACTCGTCCTAAAACAAGTGTACGCAGATCAAGTTTGAAAACCGACTATATCCTATAGCTCCCATAGGAACAATCGGATATAACTTGCAAGAATGGAAGATATTTCGCGCAGTGTAAAAGCTATTGCCATCAATTTTTTGAAATCGTATTTTTTTATGCATTCCTTTATCAAGGTGAAAGCGCGTGCTGATCGGACGTCTATATCCTATAGCTCCCATAGGAACAATACGGTGAAATCGGTCAATATTTGATGTTATTTAGAATATTTCGCGCAGTGTATAAGCTATTGACATAAATTGTTCTTATTTATTTACGCATACCTTGATCAGGGACGTCTATATCTTATTGCTTCCGTAGGAAACATTTTTAAAGGCTGCGAAAATATCCCTTTTTTTCCTATTTGTATATGACATTTTTGCAGTGTAAAAGCAATTGACATGAAACGATGCAAATCTAGTTTACTTATGTATACCTTATTCCTTTCGCTACTTTTCAGTTTTAGCAATTTCGGGTATGCAAGGGTATTAAAACTTTGGCTTGCCGAAGTTAGCTTCCGTCCTCGTTTTAGTTAAGGAAACATGATTGCAAAGAGCTTGTTTTTTCGTGCTAGCTACTTCAACTTACATTCAGTAGAATTTCATCTATTTTAACAGTTATAATACATGAACTTAAAACGATGGCATCTGTTTAATTGCCAATCTCAAAAGCAATCTGTTCGTATACAGTATCAGTTTTTAGACTTAGACATTTATAATTATAACCAAAAATCAAAGGAATATGTATTGACTTTGAATATTAAAAACAAGGACTACATGATACCCGTTACACAGCCGACCAATTTCAAGTCTTCATGCTAAATCCCAAATTTCTAGCTTTTGTAGTTTCCGAAAGATCGACGTTCATACGGAGGCTAGACGCAAAGATAGACGGACATGTCTTAATTAACTCGTCTATTGATCCTGATTAAGAATACATAACTTCTTAGGCTAGAAAACTCTTCCTTCTACCTGTTACATACTTTCCAACGAAAACAATATACCCTTTTAGTCTACGAGTATCGTTACTGTTTTTTTTACGAGTAACGGTATAATTATTACTGTGTTACTGGTTTTGCTGCAGAAGGTGTGAAACTCATAAGAAAAGACTGCATAAATACAACAAAACATATATTTTATAGCAAAACAAGAAAGGAAAGCAAACTTCGGGCGGAGCCGAAGTTAATATACCCTTGCAGAATATTCTGTAAATTATATTCTCCAAAATTATTTATATGATGCATTCTTAATACTCATAAAAAAACCCAACTTCCCAACTTTAAAAACACCAAAGTTATGGCATTTCCAATCGTTCAGTTATATGGCAGCTATAAGATATAGTCGGCCGATCTTTATGAAATTTGGTAGGTTGGATTGATTGGCGAAAAATTAAACCCATAGATAATCCCAACTTTCTAACTTTACAAACACCAAAGTTATGGCATTTCCGATCAATCAGTTATTTGGCGGCTATAGGATATAGTCGCCCGATCCTTATGAAATTTGGTAGGTCAGACTGATTGGCCAAAAATAAAACCCATAGAAAATCAGAACTTCCTAACTTTTAAAACACCAAAGTTATGGCATTTCCGATCGTTCAGTTATATGACAGCTATATGATATAGTGGCCCGATACGGCTCGTTCCGACTTATATACTACCTGCAATAGAAAGACAACTTTTGGGAAAGTTTCAAGCAGATAGCTTCAAAACTGAGGGACTAGTTTGCGTAGAAACGGACGGACGGACAGACGGACAGACGGACGGACAGACGGACATGGCTAGATCGACTCTCCTGGTGATGCTGATCAAGAATATATATACTTTATAGGGTCGGAAATGTCTCCTTCACTGCGTTGCAAACTTTTGACTGAAATTATAATACCCTCTGCAAGGGTATAAAAAGTACTATGTAGATATCCGTTACTCTGTTAACCAAATTTAAAATAAATATGTCTCCACCAGAGGGCGTGTATTTCTATTGGCGCAGCAAGCAGTAGACTTGTTGCAGGCGTCTTTTCAGTGTTTGATTTGAATAGTTTTCGGTGCGTAGATATATGTACATACATATGTATATTAACATATTAAATATAATCTGCAAGTCTCCTTTTTTCTAACATCAAGAGAGTGGGCGCGACAGAATTTCGGGATTTGTGGCCGAAAGAAAAAGTGAGCGTTTAAGTTGTTAAAGTTTTATCTTTGAGGAGTGATTAAAATAATTTCTGTTTTATGAGTGAATGTTTTAAAGCATACAATTATGCCTCATGTCTTTTCATTTAAGATGATCGTTTTTCTATTGGATCCTGCTTTCATGCATGTAAAATTAAGTTAAGAGCTTTGCCAATTTTACAGCCAACTTTCGGCACTTAGTCGCGATTTTATCCACCAGAAATCCATTTATTAGGAATGCAATGAGTATGCTGATCGTTTTCTTTCTAATAATGTGCTGATAAACGGCAAAAGAGACGGGAAAACAACCGGGAAACAACCGGAGGAGCCGAAAAAATACTTAATCAAAAGAAATTTGCGGCGGCAACAACACTTATATAAATTAACTCTCAAACGCAACAACACTAATAACAATAGTTTAGCACACAGCAATAACAACAACAGCAGAAATAACAACAAATCAGCAGCCAGAAAGAACATAGTTTATCTCAAATATTCAGCCGGCTGCACGAGTGCGAGCAAGAGGGGCGTATTAAGAGAGCGGAGAGAGAGAGAGAGAGCGACACAAAGAGAAAGTGTGTGTGTGAGTGGGAGCAGGCAGCAAAAAACAAAAGTAATATTTTGTATTGTTCGACTCGTCCAACTGTAAATATCAAGCACTTACAAAAAACAAGAAACAAAATGGCACGCGGCTTCGATCATCTGTTCAAGTTGCTAATAATCGGCGATAGCGGTGAGTTTCCCAGGCTTTCCCAAACCAGGTGCTTAAAAATAGCATCGCGGGCAGGTGTAAATTCCAGCCTGTCCCGAAATCCTGCTCTTTTCCATTTTTTTTGGCATAAACTCAACTAATAAACACATAGAATTGTATTGGGTAGTTTTGACATTATCCCAGGCATGTGCATATGTACAACAAATATTCAAAATATCCACGCCTACATGGCGGATGAGTAATATTAAAAACAAATTTGTAATAATTTTAACATTTGTCAGAGTTTTTTTTAAATTTCGTTTTAAATGAAATACTAATACATTTTTTTAAAAAAATATATATTTTACATTTTTTTTACTTTAGTTATTTACTAGTAACTAAATTAATTTGTAAGGAACAAGGAGTCGGAAATCAATCATAACCTCAACAAAAACTTGAAACGTATCTTGAACTTGGCTTAAAATATTAAATATAATATAATGACCACAAAGTATTTACCAATTCATAATTAAATTAACATTTTAAATTATTATAATTTACTTTGTACAAGTTGGCAGAACCTATGTTTATACCTTTCATAAATCGAAAAATTGTAAATTGGTTTTAATTTACTAAGGTACTTCCCATCCATTAAAGGATTCTTTATTTTCTATAACAGAATGCATGCAACCAGGGACTTCTAAGAATTCCGATTTGTCCGTAGTAGATTCACAATTAGTGGACCCACCTATCTCTCAGAATGTAGCATCACCACCACAAGGGACTACTGAGTCCGGACAACCGGCTCAAGTTGGTTTTGCAGAAACAATGTCTGCTCCACCAAAATCCCTTTCAGTGGTTCCACTAAAGAAACAAATTTTCGTTTCTCGGCTTTCCCCTGATCAAACATCTTCTGATGTATTGTCTTATATACAAGCCAAAACTAAAGCCGATTGTAATAGTGTAAAGGTGGAAAAGTTTAAGTTTTCTTATGCTAAAGACATTTCATCTTTCAAGATAACTGCCCCTAACGAGCTTTTTGAAGCCATATGCTCGGGCGACTTTTGGCCGGATAATATGGTTGTAAAAGAGTTCGAGGCTAAGATAAAGAAGAAGGTGCCCGTGGTAGTAAAACTTCCTAGTCGAGGCCAAACCAGTGTACCAATTTCAAAAAACTAACTTCTAACCTCCTTCTTTCCTATCAGAATGCAAGTGGTTTGCGTAGCAAACTCACTAAATTGTATTCCGATAGCCTTTGCTTTGCATCTCATATTATTGTGTTTACAGAAACCTGGTAAAAACCGGAGATCTTTAGCTCCGAAGTTTTTCCAGTTAATTACACAATGTATAGGTATGACCGTCCCTCTAGACGGGGAGGATGAGTCTTAATTGGTGTTGATTCAAACCTCCCGTCTGAGGAGTAATTATACCCGTTACTCGTAGAGTAAAAGGGTATATTGTATTCGTGCAAAAGTATGTAACAGCTAGAAGGAAGCGTTTCCGACCCTATAAAGTATATATATTCTTGATCAGGATCACTAGCCGAGTCGATATAGCCATGTCCGTCTGTCCGTCTGTCCGTCTGTCCGTCTGTCTGTCCGTCTGTCTGTCTGTCTGTCTGTCCGTATGAACGCTGAGATCTCGGAAACTATAAAAGCTAGAGGATTGGCATTTTGCATGCAGATTCTAGAAGTTCCTACGCAGCGCAAGTTTGTTTCAAAAAGGTGCCACGCCCCCTTTAACGCCCACAATCGCTTATATACGATTTTAAAAATTTAAATATTTCGGAAAAGTAAAAATGCAGTTTTATTGTGTTTATCAATACCTATCGAAATGTAGAAGAAATTTTTCAAATCGGACCATTCGTTAAAAAGTTATGCGTGATCAAAGTTTCTATCTCCATCTCCCTCGCACTCCCTTTACCTGAGTAACGGGTATCTGATAGTCGGGGCACCCGACTATAGCGTTCTCTCTTGTTTTTTGATGAATTCAATACCATTGAATTTATTTGTTTAAAGTTATCGCGTCCTGGTAGCTCTATATACATAACTTGCTAATATATTCCGCCGTTGTCTGAACTTCCTGATTATTTAAATCACCTTTCAGTTATTAAGTCTGTTGCAAATAAGTTTTCCGATAGGGATCAGTTGGTAGTTCTAGGTGATTTTAATATACCTGGAGTTACTTGGTCCACTGAGGACGGATCGAATGTCATACTACCTGCATGATTTACTACCTACAGCATGATTTTTTTGACGGCCTGCTTGACATATCTTTATCTGAAGTAAACCATGTTCGAAATTCTTTAGGTCGCCTACTTGATTTGTGTCTTTTTTATCAAATCCTGAACGTGTGTTTCTGTCCAGAGTAGCACCACTCAAGCAACCTGAAGATCACCCTACAATCGAACTTTCATTTGATACGGGTAGAGTTATAGAAGAAAAATCAGAAAAATCATCCAAACGAATACATTGTTTTCGCAAGGCAGACTTTTTGAGGCTAAATAATTTTATTTCTGGCTTTAATTGGTCTGATCTTTACTTATGCAATAATATGTCCGATGCAGTTAATGTTTTTTACACTGCAATAAACTCATTTTTAAATTCCTGTGTTCCGTGGTACTATCCGTCAACTTCCAATAAATCACCTTGGTTTAGCAAAGAGTTGACACACTTAAGAAATGTAAAGTCCAGACTTTTTAGGAAATATAAAAATACCGGTTCTCAATCTGTTTTTACTAGATATTTAAGTGCTCGGTCAAGATTTAGCGTGCTTAATTCTCAGTGTTATAATAGTTACTTACACCGTTGTAAGGTCCAGTTCTCTCAGGACCCGAAACAGTTTTATAATTTCGTTAACACCAAGCGTAAATCTAATTCTTTTCCTTCCTCGCTGTCGTTCGAAACATGACGGCAACCACAGATCAGGCAATAGCCGATTTATTTGCCCAATTTTTTCAAACGACTTACTTTACTTTAGATTATTCATCACAGCCTTATTCTTACACCATATCCAAGTCAAACCTCATATTTTGTCCCACTTTAACAGAAAGCCCTCTTAACTTACCTTCTTATTCTAGTAGACTTCTTTTGATTAATTTACCCTCCCAAGCTAACCGTAGAACGATGCTTGGTACTGTCTTCATTTATAACCTTATACATGGTGATATTGACTCCCCCGACTTGGTAAGTCGGCTAAACTTTTCTGTGCCAAGTAGATTAACTAGAAATTATATTCCCCTAATATTAATTCATTGTAAATCTAACTATGCCTTGCATGAGCCTTTAGACTTTTCCTATAATCTCAAATCTTGACTCTCTGCCGCTCCTAAAACGATTAATACTAGCATCATTGACACAAAATTGATCTTTTTATTACTTGTGTCCCCGGACTTTTACCTATATTTCCTTATCTTGCGTCTATCTTTTCGCGAATCGTGCAGCACGATACACGGCTGCGCCCCTCGGTCGGTTGGGCGGGTAAGTGGGCCGTGGGACTTAAAAAAATATTATATAAAAAGAAAATTCGGGTATTTGTCGCACAAGTAGAGCAAAATTGTTTTCTAATTGAAATACATTTTAGAAATGTTCTCGAATGCATTCCTAAATTTGTTGAAATGTATAACATAGAAAAAGATTTTGCTAGAAATGTTAGAAATCTGACCCAGTTTGGTGTCCGTAGATCAGCTGTCTGTTCTATAGAACATACCTGGCGCTTCCAGTTGAAGCTGGCATGACTAATGCTGACGCATCGGCAGGACATACATGGTGACATCCGACAAGACCAGCTGCGGCGGTAACCGGAGCAGGAGGTTATCCCTACCCAGACATATTACGTACCATGTAGACCAATCATACACTCAGTAGTACGTTTAGTAATACAATCCCCTTTTTCAATCCGATCCCCCGCAGGCGTGGGCAAGTCGTCGCTTCTTATCCGGTTCTCGGACGACACATTCTCGGGGAGTTACATCACCACCATCGGCGTAGACTTCAAGATCCGCACTGTGGACATAGAAGGCATGCGTGTGAAGCTGCAGATCTGGGACACGGCTGGCCAGGAGCGCTTCCGCACGATCACCAGCACCTACTACCGCGGCACCCACGGCGTCATCGTCGTCTACGACGTGACGAACGGCGAGTCGTTCGCGAACGTACGCCGCTGGCTGGAGGAGATCCAGAACAACTGCGACGTGGTCAAGAAAGTATTAGGTAAGCCCGAGCGACCAGGGATTGGTGTTGGGTATCCCTGCCTTTGATTCGCATAAGCCTGTCACACAGATTAAAATTCATATTAATCCTACCATTTCTCTGCAGTGGGCAACAAAAACGATGACCCGGACAGGAAGGTGGTCATCACAGAGGACGCGCAACGGTTCGCGAAACAAATGGACATCGAGCTATATGAGACATCTGCCAAAGATAACATCAACGTGGAGAACATGTTCCTGTCGATCACGCGGCAGGTGCTCGATCACAAGCTGCGCACCTCCCCCAACGAGCAGCAGAAGGACACGCTCCACCTGAAGCCCAATCCCAAGGGCACCAAGGGTGGGAAGTGCTGCAGGTGAAAGCGGCTCTGGCACGGGAGCTGGCATTGGAACTGGACCGACGGCGACGGCGGGACAGGAATTGGAACCGGAATTAGGACCAGGACCTGGATCATGTCCGGGGTCGAATGGAATCGTTGTGGGGCGCGTAGTTTGTAGGGATCTTGGCGTACAACACGGCACACACCACTCACTCACATAGACATAGCTTACACCAACAAACAACACTCACACACCCACTAGACGCAATAATTTTTTTGAATTGTTTTTTTTTTTTCCTCCTGTGTTTTTATTCGGAATAATGCCAGATAGCCGTAAATAATAAACAAAATTTAAACAAATCGCATATTTATGCACAAGAATATATTTATATTTCAAACGGAAAATGGTATTTTCCAGATAACCAACTGTAAAATATTGTGTACTACCATAAAAAAAAATTAACTTTTTCCAAAACATGATCTGTTGTGAAAAAACCAAATAATTTAAAAATGTTCAGTATGTTTTACCCGTTACTCTTAGCGTAAAAAAAATGTTTATTGCAGTCGTGCAAAGGAAGGAAATAGAAAAGATTCACTTTTATCCATATAAAGTATTTATATTCACCATGACCAGAATAGTCGATATATCCAGGTTTATTGATCTCTTCGTTTAGACCAAAATATTTCATTAACTCTAAAATCTGAAGAGAGAGATATCGATGTATAAAATTATTATTATTATTAAATTCCTTACACACTAATAATTTATGTAAGTCAACTAATTTTAATAACTTACAGTCTCCAAAAATAGAATCAGAATCTGAAATGCAGTAACTTTAAATTTGCATATAATACAAATTTTGCGTTTGTATATAAATGATTTTTAAAATGTCTGACCATTAATAATATATAACATTTGTTGTATATTAAACAAATTCAATCTCAGCAGATGAATTTGCCGATTAAGTACTCAGTTCTTAAACATAATTGCATACTTTCTGGCGACAGACAGATTGATTATGTCATGTAATGTAATGTAACAAAACTCGCTTGATTTAAAATACAGAAGTGGGTATCAGGCAAGAAACATTTATCTTTCGGTGGGTGACGTAGAATTTCATGGAAGCCATCCAATTGTATGTGTTTGGGGCGAAATTTTGAATCTTATAGTATATCGATTTCCATATACATATGTAGATGGGCAGGCTTTAGGTCAAGATCAACTCGGAAGTTGATTAAGAAAATACTCCTTGCAGAGGATATTATAATTTCAGTCAAAAGTTTGCAACGCAGTAAAGGAGAAATTTCCGACCATATAAAGTATAAATTTTCTTGATCAGCATCACCAGTAGAGTCGATCTAGCCATGTCCGTCTATCCGTCCGTCCGTTTCTAAGCAAATAAGTCCCTCCGTTTAAAAGCTTTCTATTTGAAACTTTCCCAAAAGTGGTCGGTACGAGTTGGATCGGCCGATAGCTCCCATAGGAACAATCGGAAAAATATTTAAAAAAGTATAACTTTGTTGCTTTTATTTTTTTTGTTCTTTGGGATTTGGTATAACCTAAATACAATTTTATTACGGTTTTAATTAAATTAAAATCGGACATCTATATCATATAGCTCCATAGGAAAATCAAAAAATTAAAAAAACAAGAAGCAAATCGTTGATCGTTCTTCTATTTCTATTAGATCCTGTTTTGTAAGTCATTTTAAATAATTCAGAAAAACAAAGAAAGAGACTTACTTAGGCAAGCCGAATGTGTTTAAAAACAATAAAACTATGGCTTCCAAAAAAATTTTAAAAATTTAGCTAGTTTAACGACCTACTATTATTGTAGAAATCATAAGCCTTTTTAATAAAAAACGTTTATATATTTCCCCAAAAAGAATCTACTGTGCATCCAAACCGAGAGCTCAACAAATAAGAACAAGTTAAGCTCTGGCGGTGGCTTAAATGGAACAGCGTACTTTTGCAAATATGATAACCTGAGTGGTGCGAGTGCCCCGCCCACTTGGGGTGGCTTCAATTAAAATGTCTATGAAGGAACCGTCTGTGCAGTTGTGGTCGTGGGGTGCAGCTGTCAGACGAATTTGTGTTACTATAATTTCCGTTCGATTCATTTAATAATAAGCTTTTGCATTATGCAGCATTAATTAAAAGCCCTGTCCGAGTGAAAAGCCCTCCGCTTGCAATGCAATTATTATGCAGGGAATGTTTCGATAGTGGGTGATTGTCAAGGGGCGACAGGTAGGCCACTTCCGCTGGAAGAAGTGACACTTTAAAAAACAGCACAATTTCGTCAACGATTATACATTACGCACTTCGCTGCCTTCTCTAAACCATCTTGTTTAGCACATAATTTAAATCATTTTCAACCTTCTACTTTATTACACATAACAAAATGCACTTTTTGAAAAGGCCCTACCATGTTTTATATATAAAGCTGTTCTACCAATTAATTTGTATTTTAGTCGCTTAGGAAATTCATTTGCTATAAAGGACAATGTTTCATTAAAAAAATACTCTTTCTAATATATGCACAAATTAAAGTGCATTTTATTTTCATTGTTGACTTGATTCTTCCAAGATTCTGTAACAAGATGATGTGGTGTTGAAAATGTCAACCCATTCAAAGTTTTTATAAAACTCCTCACCATTTAGTTTCCTTCATGGTTGACGCTGTCGCAGTTGTCATATTAAACATAATGAAATTGTGGTTTGTAGTGTGCATACATACAGAGTACACACTGTACCATTGGCAACAATGTTAGCCAATTCTGCAGGATCAGCACTCTTCAAGTGCAAACGTAATTTGACCACACACGCCATCAGCGAGTGATAAGTCGCGCTAGCTTATTCCCACAGCTTGGCGACTGCAACAAATATACCCATGTATGCACATAACATTCCATTCCCTCTCTCTGGGACCGCTCTCAGAGATAAACATAAGCTTATATATAAGGCGGTTGCGTCGCTGCCGGCTTGACCGACAGCGCCGACTGCGCAACATAGAGCTAAGCGAAGGAAAGAATATTGGCCGGCAGTCTACAGACGACGGCAAACCAAAAGAGTACAGAATAAACATATTAATATTTTTAAATAAAACCAGTGCGTTTTTCATTATGACTAAAAACTGTGAACCATAAATCCACCTCTTAACAGCTTATTAATCCTTTTTTGTTAACCAAAAAAATAATGTTTAAATTTCATGCATGGGATATTGTTGCTTACCAAGAAATATGAGCTCCTAAATGTAAAATCAAATCATGGATCAAAGTAAAAAGATTTCGGTCAAGTTTAAATCAATGGCCTTAGTAATGAATTTAAATTACTTTCGCACAAGCAAACAGAAAGTTGCTTAATTAAGGTACCCAAGTGCATTTCACAAAATAAAATCTAGTGAAATGTCAGGTGGATGACCATTTAAAAACGTTTTAACGAAACCGATAACGATGGAATAACGTTAAAAGAGAGTTTTTATCGAGCTAAAACAGTTGGATTTGCTAACGGTTGCACAACCACTCAAACCGTCTTTTTAAATTAGGGATTTTGACGATGATTTCAAAATTGGCAGATAGGATGATTCAAGCTGGAGACATTTTCTGGTGCAGCCGAAGACTCCCTGGAAGTTAAAAAATAAAAGCCATTTATAAATATTAAGTGGTTTAAGACTTATTAACCTTTAAAAACGCCATATATTAGTGCCCGTGACGCTAATGTTATAAAATATTGGTTCCAACAGAACAACAACAATTTATTTTTGAGTACCCTTTTTAACTTCTAACATAAAAAACAAGAGAGAACGCTGTAGTCGAGTTCCTCGACTATTAGATACCCGTTACTCAGCTAAACAACTTTAGATTTTGCATTAACATAATGTGAATTAGAGTGACCACAGGAAAAAAGGACAAAAAGTTCAAATTATCAATTTGAATTCGGCGATCTTTTAAGCTGGCAGCTTTACAGCACGAGCATCAGCACCAGCGCTGCTTTAGCGCAGGCAGCTTTTGTCCTGCACCAGCATACACACATACGCCATTGTTTGACTCAGACCTATAATTTGGCTAACTAGATTTGATTTGCATAGTTCTTGGGATATAGTTCGGTATTGACAAATGAAAATCATCGCAATTTCCTTTAATAGAAATCCTTATCGAGAATTAACGTTGACTCTGTTGAGCACCTTGGCCAGCTGTTCCAAAGTCATCCGTTAGATGGCGCCATGAAAGGCGGAAATGTAGGCGCTAGCCAGGCTTAAGCGTTTAATGGGTTTTTGGGCGTTAGAGTGGGCGTGGCCAACTTTTATTAGGCCAATCGATATTTATTGACGAAACAAATACATATCAATTAAAATTTTCATAATATCATCAAAACTTTGGCCACAGCTTGTGGCTTGTGGGCGTCAGAGGGGGCGTGGCACCGTTTTGAAACAAACTTGCGCTGCGTAGGAACTCCTAAAATCTACATGCAAAATGCCAATCTTCTAGCTTTTATAGTTTCCGAGATCTCAGCGTTCATACGGACAGACAGACGGACAGACGGACATGGCTAGATCGACTCGGCTAGTGATCCTGAACAAGAATATATATACTTTATAGGGTCGGAAACGCTTCCTTCTACCTGTTACATACTTTTGCACGAATACAATATACCCTTTTACTCTACGAGTAACGGGTATAAAAACCAAAATTTGGTATTCAATTATAGATTTTTAAATCAAAAATATTTTTTGTATGTATTTCAGTTCTCGTGTGAGAAAATATAAACAGTGCGGTATTCCTTTGGATCGCTTTGGACCATCAAACTGCATCAACTTCAAGTAAGTCCCACTTAAAACGGAGATTCTCGAAAACCAAAGCGAAACCGTGCGTGTTTGGTAGTTAATTGATAATTTCTCGAGTACCGTGAAATACAGGGTACTCGTAAAGCAAAGTAGTAATTATTTGCTAAAACAAAAGCCTTGTTCTTTGTCGAAATTTATGAATTAAGAAAAATTCAAGGAGTATATAAGTCGAAACGAGCCGGATCGGATGACTATATTATATAGCTCCCATAGGAAAAATTGGAAAAAAAATTCAAAAAAATTATAACATTGTTTTTTTTAAATTTTTTTTGCTCTTTGGGATTTGGTAATATTTAAATATTATGGAATTGCGGTTTTAGTTAAATTAAAATCGGACATCTATACATTATAGCTCCCATAGGAAAATCAAAAAACTAAAAATAAAATAAAAATACAAATAAATTTATTTTGGTG